CCAACATTAAACTCTAGGAGTTTAAATTTTATATTTTTTTAAAATTCTGGCTGTTTCAAGGTAAAGTGCACACAGAAAAAATTTAATACATTTAGGACGTAGGAAAATGTTCAAGATGCACAATTTTTTGACGTACGACTCCGTCGGTGATTTCTATATGGGGGTACACTTTGTGGAAAATGGAACATGTAACGAAATTATGAAAGATTTTGAACGTTAATAACTCAGCTGCTCCTGGACCAATTTCAATAACTTTATCATCAATCGATCAGAAATATTTCTACGCATAAAAAGCAATGCTGCTGATTTTCAACAAGAATTTTTTTTTAAAATGGGATATATCAAGCATTGTTAAAAAGCGTCACTTTTTAATGCTGCAGATGCACAATTCTTAACATTGTTAATGTTAAAATAAAAATAGTTTTGTGATCCCAAACCAATATATTTTCAAGATTTTGTTATTAGTGGCAAAAAGTATCTCTGATACAGATTGTAAGCATAAATTCTTCTAATACAAATGTTAATAAAAGTCAACGAATTTAGATCAATTATAAGACTAAGATAAAATTGCAATATCCTTCCTGGACAGTCATTTAATCAAAATTCTAGTACATTAATATTAAAAACAAATATGAATTTTAATACTAATAGTATGTTTGACCTAATCAAGAGTTAAAAAACTCCACAAAATAAATGTGCCTTCTAAAAAAATATGGACGAAATTTTGTTCAAAATAAATTTAACGGACTTAAAAAAATTTCGATATCATAGGCTTAGACAAGTTTTGAATGTCCTGCTTTTCAAAGTTCGTAATTCAAGATCTTAGGAAACTTACCTAGATTCTGGGACTGAGATTTCTCGAGAGAAAAATTGTTCGAGATAAGAAAGTAAGAAAAAGATAGGAGTCGAAAATTTCGAAAAATCTTGACATGTGGCAAAAATGGTTATAATTTAATTTGATCAGGTTTTTAAGATACTGGATTTTGAATGTCATGATTCAGACATTTGAAGTGAAAACAAGTAATAAAGCATTTATACAGAACATTTTTTGTGATTTTAGAACTAACTAGTAAAATCAAGATTTAACTATATTTCTAATCGAAAGGAATACACTCTAAACTTGCATGATTGTGTTCCTGCTTCTAGATAGTAATTTAACTTTTTTTTTGCAAAAGATGGGATGTTATTAATATTTTAAATTGAGTTAGTTGTGGTTAAACCCATTTGGTATCAACTTATTATTTACACGTACATACAGGTAATTTATTAAATAAAAAAATACACACACAAATCACGGAATTTTTTATGTACTGATCCATGCAAACAATCCTGCAGCTAAATTCCGGGCATACAATTTATCGAAACGAAAGAAATTTATAAATATTAGGTATATGCGGCAATTGAAATTTCTGCCCGGAATTTAGCTCCTGGAGTGCAAATTTGTGACAATATAGCTTAAACACGAAGGCACTGGTCTTCCCTATAGAGAATGTACAAATATGGCCATAAAATTAAGATTCATCATTCAAGATTCCATCTGATTCCATTAGGTGGAAAACTTTTGAATACTTCATGATCAACCTACAACCTACCAAATATCCAGTGAGCTTTACTAATATATTGGAATATATGGAGATCATTTGAATATTTCCTGTTGTCAAACATCCTGAAAGAATATCCTGTAACTTATGCAACTTTTCCTGAACATCTAAAAAACTTAGGTTGTCTGCGAGCAGCATGAAACTACGGATGCAGCCAACCGCACTGACTAAGTTTAGGTACTCCACGGTGCTAAAAATCGGTTGAGTGTGGTGGCTAGTATAGTGAACCGATTCGCCGTGGTCACTCACTACTACGCACGAACTGCACGGAGAAGGAGAGAGTTTCTCGCCGAAGAATCTGGGAAGTAGAATTATGCGATAGAAATGTAAATATAGGAAATTAATTAGTCTAGAAAGTACACCGTCGCGAGTAGTCGACCGGGGGCGAAACCCGTACGCAAAAAATATATGTTTTAATTTTAATTAAAGTAATGAATTAGTGTATATTAATAAAATTCGATGTAGTGTTTAGCTCGGTGTTTTAGTGGCAATAAAATGTATTTTGTGTGGACATTGGTGTAGTTGGTGCTTGCGAAAGAAGGTCTACGGATGACGGAAGGCAACAGGATCAAGTAAGGACGATAAAAGGAACGTTCGCCTGGCAAGTGGAAGTCATCACCAATCGGTCGGGACGGTCCCCGACATAGGTTTTACAAAATTTCCTCAACTTCTATAAAGTTTTCTGAATTCATTGCAAATTACATATTTTTTTCCATTTCTTTAAATTCTTGAAAGATCTCTGAACATCTTTGCACTTCTGGAAAGACACCTAAGACATCTGCAAATATTCTTGAACACCTAGAAAGTTCCTTGAATTTATCGAAGTTCCCAAAACCTCCAAGAAGTTCATGGAGCTTTTTTGGAGTAAGATCTCTGAAAAACTGCAACGAAGTTCCCTTAACTGAAGTGAAGATCCCTGAAGTTCTTAGAAGTTCATTGAACTATTTTAAGATCTTTTAAAAAATTCCCTGAACTTTTTCAAAATTCCTTACACTTATATGAAGTTTTACGCAGCTCCTCAAAATGCTACGAAATTCGGAAATCTTCTGCACAGTTTTCTGTTGAATTTCCAGAACTATTCCAAGTCCATGAGGCTAAAAAAACTGAAAATATGTAGAGGTTCCCGATCAATAATGAGCTTCCCTAAAATAAAATATTGTTCCTTTAATTTCTACGAAGCTCCTCCAATTTAAATGAATTCTCTACGCAGTTTTCAGAACTTTTCCAAGTTCCTTTTTTCTACGAATTTTTCTGAAGGTCTATGAATTTCCCAGAATTTCTACCAAGTTTACTTAATTTTTTAGATCTTTCCTGAACTTCTATTTGAAGTCTTACGAAGTTTCCACAAGTTAAAGAAAAATTCCTGGGCTCATGGCCAGCCTGAAGACGTCTTATTGCCATCGATTTGATATAATATAATTTCTCAAAATTATTTCTTCTAGTCATAACATAAACATAGCAAAAGTAATCAACATAAAGGACTTTAAAATATCTTAGTTGGTGGTCCAATTTTTTTAATCACTGTTAAATAGTAGCATTGAACTTAAAAAGCTTGACAAAATACCGGTGAGTCAAAAACAAACACCAAAAATTCTGGAGGGGGCCTGGCCCCCCTGGCACCCCCATTAGTTACGCCAATGGCCGTTGGTCCCCGTTCATGAGTTGATTGGTGAAAGGTAGGGTCCAGGTGTGGGAGCTGCCTCCCTGGCGTCGGTAGCATTGGTGTTCAGCACGGAAAACAAATCAAGGAAAATAACATTCTACAAGTCTAAATCATGGTCTACAGGTCCCTCTTAAAACCAAATTATTACATGGGCAGGGAAGTCGAAAAATCGATCAATAAGAAAATAATTAAACTGGACCGAGAATCGGTCTTGATTTTTAGCTGCGCCTATACCGACTGAGCTAAGGTAGGCCCCTAGTGGAAAAGCTATAGGAAATAATATTCGTGAGAAGAGAGATTATGTAATATTTCTATTTCTCACCATAGCCTATTTAATAAAGTTATAAGAAAATCTTTCACTTCCTGGCTGGGTGCATGATTAATAAGCTGAATTATTATTACATAACAGTTGAATGAATGCTTTTCCAATTATTTTCTCATTAATTGGCGGGGGGCGACCCCGGCGTAGTGGTTAACATCCATACCTCTCACGCCAAAGTCACGAGTTCAAATCTCACCTCCGGACAAGTCACGAATAACCCAAGAGTGTTAAAATGACTAAAAAAAAAAAAAAAAAAACAATAATTGGCAGCTCGATACCCATACTCATAAATATCAATAATAAGCCATGAAGATGACATTATATCACTGCAGGAATCGTCCAGAACCGACGGAAATTCCATGGTACCTCCGCAATTGTTGAAATTTGTTAACCAAAATCTGCATATCAAAATTTTTTAAAATCTGTGATATTTTTGTTCCATTATTATCATGGATATAGAATACCGTATGCGTGATAATGTTTGTACCATTATAAGAATAAGCGTCCACATTGCGCATCTCGAAACGAAACACTTTTTGTACGAATGCTAGTATGAAAAAGTTTTTCGTTTCGAGATGCGCAATGTGACCCAAGGTTCCCGTTTCACCAGTGCATACAATGCCATGGTTTTTTTTGCATGCACGTAGCCTATAGCTCATACCGTAGTAGGCTGTGTATAAAAGAAAATGATTTACTTAGTTTGACAGTTGCACCATGACGAAGTGGCAGCGTATTTGTGATTTGTCCCACGCGTGGGAGTGTCCCGGTGGACCGTCAAAAGGGTTTTAGACCGAGAAGAAAGGACAACTATCCGCGAAGGTGGCCACAGGTCGTCCGAGGCCAGCTCGTGTTTCGAGGGTTATCGCTGCTATCGAAAGGAAGATTCGGGTGAATCCAGTGCGTTCAATAAGGAAAATGGAGTAGTAGACCAAAATGCTTATTGATTTTTCCCATTCCATGAAGAATACAGAATCACTTCTTCTTCTTCTTCTTCTTCTTCTTCTTCTTCTTCTTCTTCGCATTTCCAGCTTATTTCTTATCGCATGTTATCTTATTGTGTGTTCTTAACATAGTGTTCTAGATGCACTTCCACAGTTTTCAATTGAGAGTTTTCGATGACTGTACCATTTTTGCATTAGTATAATTGTGTGGCAAATACAATCATGGTATATGCGTCGACAAATTTTTCAATCCAAAAAATTCCTAGGCCGGACCAGGAATTGAACCCAGCCCAAGCTGGAGATCAGCAAAATCTTGCTTTGTAGCTGTGCCTTTACCAACTGAGCTGAGGGAGGCCCCGAATACGGAATCACCTATTTACGGCAACCCCGAAATTACATACAAAATGGAACGTTCAACACTTGTTTAAAATTTCAAACTAACATTTATTTTCTAATACTCGACGGTTTCAGTCTCAGTGGTGATGTTGGTACAGATTAGCATAGCTGCTAGCATGTCCGTGCTCATGTCCATGTGTGGCTTCAGAATGGTGATGCCCTTCTTCGTGTCCATAGATCTGTGGATGTTGGGCATGTCCAACTCGCTTCACGTGAGCCTGGAAGCCATGGTGCTTATCGGAAGTATATTCCACGATGCGTTTCGTTCCGTCAGCTTCGTACAGAGAGTACTGCCCTTTGACAACATCACCGTCACGGTGTTCCCACTGATCCTTGTTGTCTCCAGTGTGGGAATCCTTTACTCCATACTCAAACTTGTACTTCGGATGAGAATAGTGCTCTTCATGGTATTCAGCAGCGACGAAAGCTGCAAATGCTAGAACGAAGATGAACTGAAGAAACATGGAGTTAGAATAAAATGTGGACTCGTCGGATGTTCATTGATCCGTACTTTGAACATGTTGACTCAATTTAGTTTACTGATCTCTACAGTTGTCAGAACTGGACTGCTTCCAACCAGATCAGAACTATCAATATATACTGATTTGAATCAAAAGTAAAAGTAGCTGAACATAAAAATGGATCACCAAACACCTCCTACATAGTAACTCCTATAAGCTTTTGCCCAAGCGCATAATTTGGTGCAAATTCTTGCTGCATGGGTTTTCTCAATCCTGTCGGTGGTGCCTAAGCGGCCTCATAGGTTTGCCACCGTGAGCTGCACTGCTGCACCAAACAGAGGCTCAGATGAATAAGCATGATAGGAAGAAAACGGAGAAAAATGCTCATGCGAACTTGAAAAGTGTGCAAACCAAAAGGTAAAACCACAAACCATACCTACTCGTCAAAAGCTGTGGCGGGGTTGCACTTGTTCTATGAAAACCGCTCGAATGAATCCAATGGGAAAGAAATTGCGTAAAATAGGTGCCTAAGTGTGATTCTTATGTACAATTTTACAGCTTTTTGATCACGATGATTGGTAGTTGGTATTTAAAGCGGCTCACTCGCTCACCTAGTTAATCAGTGTTCCGCCAGCAAGTCGCAGCTCAAGTACTCAGTCAACATGATGAAGGTTCGGTGTTCATTTGTTTTGATAGGTGAAGAAATTTTGTGTGAGCCAAAAATATGTGTTTTGTTTTTGTTTTAGGTTGTAGTTTTTTCTGTTGCCGTTTTGGTCCTGGCAGTAGCTGCAGAATACCACGAGGAGCATCATTCCCATCCCAAGTATAAGTTCGAATACGGAGTGAAGGACTCCCACACGGGAGACAATAAGGACCAGTGGGAACACCGCGACGGTGATGTTGTCAAGGGGCAGTACACTCTGTACGAGGCTGATGGGACGAAACGTGTGGTGGAATATACTTCCGACAAGCACCATGGCTTCCAGGCTCACGTGAAGCGAGTTGGACATGCCCAACATCCACAGATCTATGGACACGAAGAAGGACATCACCATTCCGGTTCCGATCATGGCCATGGTCACGCCAGCAGCTATGCCAATCTGTACCAGCACCATCATTGAGACTGAAGTAGACTGTGATATTAGTTAATAAACAGAGTTTTTAAAAGTGCAACCTATGGATCGTCAAATTGAAAGAATATTGGTTTACATTGAATACTCGAATCTCAGTTCATTTCAGAGGCAGTAATGACTATTTACCCAGAGCTTACTGTAATGGCGTTATTAGAACTGTGTCCAGGCTTTGGATTTGGGAATTATTTAGCAAATCATGTCAAAGTTTGACCATTTCATCCATTTCGGCGAATATCCTTTTGATTTAAAGTTTGATCAGATTAAGTCAAACCATCAATATTCAGAAAGCATCCGTCTTACAGTGTATCACATAATTTCCCATGCAGCTGTCCTTATAGCATAGACAAGCAGCTGTATGGGCACTAGACTGATGCATAATTTGAAATTTCCGCTCCGTACTGCACAGTGGCCTAAAAGTGCCAAAACGTGTGTTTTTAGTTTATGATAAAACGGTCCATTTCAGCCATAGAGTGTCTTCGGTGAAGTTTGTGCATTTAAATAGCCACTTTTAAGGGAGATAAAAAAATTATTTTTTTACGTTTGTCAAAATAGCAAATTGGTCAGTTTTAGACAATATTATTTCAAACATTTTTGCTGAAAACGTCAACCCACTATCTCTTATGTTTACGGAGATATGTATTTTTTTGGTAAGAGACTTCAGAAAATCATTGTTTTGCAAATAACTTTTCAGGAAGCAATTTTTTGACATTAGTTTGTTCTAAACAAATGTTTTTTTTTTTTAATACGCCAATTTGTCCTGGGAAGCAGGTTCCTGTCTTCAATATTTCTTAAGATATTCAAGGTTTTAACCCAAAATTAGCACTTTTTTCAAGGCCAACAGCTCTAAGTTGGACAAAATTGGGCAAACCAAGCTAATTACATTTGAAAGTATACTTAAAATGTTGCCCAATGCATACCACATTATTAATTTTCTTTATTATTCTCTGCCGATCTACTTATTACCAAACTATAGTAAACCATGTACAGATAATAATTTTCTTGCATTTATACATAGAGCAGCTTCTTCACTACGTCACTTACTCTTGGTGTTCAATTAAAGTAGGCATGCAAAAAAGGGTAAGCGTTGTAAAGCAGCGTGCGGTAAAAGATGATGATGATGGTCCCACCTCTTACCCCTACAAAGGTTTGAGCTGGACGATTTATCTTTAAGATAATTAAATATAAACATTTTAACCAGGTTAGCAAACAAAAACGAGCTGGTTACAGTTACAGATATAAATTCCCTCTAGACTTTACAGTTGCTTCACAGCAATATACATAAATGTGAAAAAGCTTAGGCGTCCACCTCTTAGTTCGCCTTTTTGTCCACCTAGAATATTCATAAGTATTACAAGCAATCAAGAGTTAATGAACAATCAACAAAGCATCCTATACACTAGCAACCCCGCAATGATGCTATTATAATTTTCAGCAATGTCAGGAATGCTCACGAACCCCCGACATTCAGCCAGAAAACTTAATACTAACTCAAAGTATCTTCCAAATAAGCTTCAAAGTTCCATTTTTTTTTATCAAATGTTAAATTCAGTCCTCTATATCCGTAATACGCGCGCGAGGCTCAAACCTTTGTAGACTACTACTTTTTTTTTAACTACTACTTTAATTCAAATATAAAAAAAAATCCATCATCACCATCGTGGCGAACAAAATAGTTTTTGCAGTGCTACAATAATTATTAAAAAGTCGTTATGACAGCTATCCATACAAAATAATCCGTTATAAATAACTTCGTCAAGATACATACTTCGTCCATTCATAAAAAAAAAAAAAATAAAAATCACTGGATAACTGTTCAAAAGACAGTTTTAACGTGTGAAATACAATGTCTCTTGAATTCTGCTAATGTTGTTGCACGTTTAATATGTCTAGGCATCGAATTGAAAACATTTACTCCTTTAAAATACAATGAATTCTGTGAAGCGCAAGTCAAGAAATGTGGTGTTCTTATTTCATCCGCGTTTCTAGTATTATATCTATGAAAATCACTTCCTCTTTCAATTCGATCACACAAATATCGAGGCAGCAAACCATTTACTACTTTAAAAATGAACACCATAGTCAAATAAACTATTCTTTGCTTCACTGACAGCCATTTTAAAGCGTCCAGCATCAAAGTTGAGGAAGTGAATCTATTACATCGCAAAATCAAACGCATTATTTTATTCTGCAAGCGCTGTAATCTCGATATTTGTGTTTCATTGGCTAGAAATAAAATGGATGGGCAAAAGTCTAGATGAGGAGAGATGATTGATTTGTATAGCTGTATTTTACTGGCAATAGTTAAATCGTTTTTCAGTCGACATAGAATTCCATACTTCTTGGCAATTTTCTTGATGACATTGTCAATGTGAGAGTTGAACTTAAGTTTGTCATCAATAATCACGCCAAGATATTTAATCTCCCGAACGCGATCAATAGCCTCATCATCAATTACCACGGAGACATTATCATTTGCTCGGTTCCGCGAAATTACCATGAATTAAGTTTTACTTGTATTTAATTTCAACTGCTTACACTTCAACCATCTACTTAGAGAACGCAAATCTTCATTCAAATGTGAGACGGCAACTTCTAAATCCTTAGCTGCAATGAATAACACAGTATCATCTGCAAAAAGATTAATGTCGCAAAATCGTAAAACGCGTCGCAAATCATTAATATACATAATAAATAAAAGAGGCCCTAATACACTTCCCTGGGGCACTCCAAGGTTATTCCCCACGGGACTGGAAACAGAATCATTAAAAACAGTCCGTTGAGTTCTGTCAGATAAATAGCTTTCAAACCATTTATAAGCAGTACTCGTAATTCCAAAGCGCTTGATTGTACTTAACAGTAAGGGCCTAGAAATTGTTTCAAAAGCGCGTTTCAGATCCAAAAAAACAGCAACAGTCGTATCTTTACGCTCCAAGTTGTCTTTCCACTTTGCTAACACCAAATTCAACGCAGTTTCACAGGAATGACCTTCCCGATATCCTGATTGTTCTGGTATCAACAAAGAGTTGCTATTCAAATACTCCAACAGCTGGCCTTTAACAACAAGTTCTAAAATTTTCTCTAATGTGTGCAACATGTTGATGGGACGAAACTCTTCGGCTTTAATCGTTCCAGCAACTTTTTGAATAGGAACCACTAAGGATTCCTTCCAAATTTGTGGCACATGTCCAGTCTGCAAAGATTCATTAATAAGGTCCAGCAAGATGTGGCCAATGACATGAAAGCAATCTTGAATAACTCTAGAATTAACATTATCTACTCCAGCCGATTTTCCTAATGAAAAGCAAATAACTCTAAGTTCATCTAAAGTAATTTGGTGAAAACCTTCAAATCTACAACTACTATTAACTGGCTGTTTTATTTCGTCAGGTTCATCGACCAATTCAATGGATTGATTAATCAATGAAACACTTTCGACAAAATAATCATTAAACATAGATGCAATTACTGGTTCTGACTGTTCTAATGTGCCATTAAAAGTTATGGACCGCGGTTTGCAATTACTAGGTTTTAATAAAGATTTCAAAATTTTCCATAACTCTTTGCTGTTGTTTTGATGCTGATCAATCTTCCTCTGGACATATTCACAACGAGTTTGTTTTATCGATTGTGAATATTTATTACGCGCGATTGTGTACCTATTCCAATGATTATCATTATTTGATCTGCAAAACTTTTTGTACCATTTGTCCCTCTTACGTTTAAGACGCAAAAGTTCCAAATTGTACCAGCTGTTCGAGTTTTTCAAAGAAACAAACTTTTGCTCAACTAATTGATTGGTACACGTTTTCAAAGTGTTAGTTAGAACAGCTGCAGATTCATCTAAATTACCGGCCGCGAATGGAAAATCCACGCTTCTCTCAACAAGATTTGAAACAGCCTGTTTCGAATATTTCCTCCAGCACTTCAATTTGACTAAGTCATCGTTATTATTGATATTATCTAATACATTAATCACTAAGGTCTCATGATCGGTTATTTTCAAATCAGCATCCGGAACTGAACAAATGGAATCAAAATTGGAATAAACGTGGTCAATTAAAGTTCTACTGTGCCTGGAAATACGCGTATACTCATCTACCGTTTGTTTTAAATTGAAAAAATCAGCTAAACGCTTCAAATGATTCGAATTATGGTTGTCACGCCAATTAATATTAAAATCACCAGCTAATATATTTAATTTACTTGAATCAAGGAATGTCTCTAGCCAGTTCTCTAAAACATCAACAAAACGCTGGTCACTAGAACTGGGAGAATGATACAAAACACCATAATTACCCATCTTCATGCCACGCACAACTGTAATGCCCAAGAACCAGTTACCATCGATAACTTCGTTGATTCGAAGGTCGAATTGAATTGATTCTTTGACATAAATAGCAACACCGCCAGTGTGTCTAGAATGTGATAAACAAGCAGCAACAATATATCCCGGAATACTATACTGATCAAAAGCTTCAGTTTCTACAATATGAGTTTCAGATAATAAAACTAAAAGAGGACGTTTTTCCTCAACAATCTGACGTAATGCTACGTAGTTTGTTGACAACCCCGCAATATTCAAATATAAAAAATCAAATTGATTCACATTCCTGGAACTTGGCTGCTATTTATTGAAACGCAAGCTGCTTTTCTTCTGTTCAAAAAGTCTTTTATAGAGCAAACATTCAGGACTAAATGCGGCATGGTTGACGTCCAAGTTCATTTTACGTTCTTTATTCATTTTCAAACAATTAACACATTTCAATACAGTTGACGTACACTCCGATGTTTTGTGTTGTTGGCTGCACCTAGAGCATCTCTCACAATTTTTGCAATCCATGCTCTTGTGCCCAAATTCTCCACATTTGAAACACCTCAATACATTAATCGCGGGAACTATAGAGCACCGATCAAACCCTACATTTACTTTTTTCGCGCATAACAAACATTTATACGTATCGAAATCGACTTCAATCACAACACTGAAC